GTAATGATAGTTGACCATTAGTCTAAATACAACAATGACAATTTTTTTTAAAAGTAAGACAAAAATAAATATGCATTTAATTAAAACAACATTGTTTGCAACATTGTTATATTGTGATCTTTCCGAAAAAAATTAATTTTCTATTTCGAAAAAAGATCGACATAACAAGGTTTTGAGAAAAAACTCTTTGTCATAGGAATTTAATTTAGCATAAGGTGGATATATAATGCAGGAAAAATATTTTTTCGGCATAACAAGATTTTTGAGATATCAAAATTCGATATATCGAGATTTATACTGTACAAAGAATAGCAAGAAAACGCAAATCAAAAATATAAAAATGGCGAGGGTAAAGACCTCTTAAGAATATTTTTTTAATCTTATAATAAAAATATCTTTTAATGAAGATTGTGGACTAAATTCTATTTTTTACTACGGACCAACAGACAGCTAAAAGTACAACCATGTTTTAAAAAAAGAACAATAGATGGGATCTCTAATATAATTATTACATCAACCTTAAGCCTTTTGAAAAATCTCAAGTCAAATAATTTGGCGAGTAAAGAATAAAGCTGTTGGCATCTGTTCTCGCTTCAACTGATTAAAATCTCAAACTCTCGTGTCATGGAAGTTTTCTATCACATATTCCTGATCCGCATCTAAGATAAGAGGATACACGAGGGCGCAGCTTATCACCTTGATTACAATTTGATGGAAGAATTGAACTTCCTTGAAAGTGGACGCGCCTTAACATTTTTCTCTTTTGTTTTAAACCATCATTTTCATCTTAGACTTCAATATATTAAAAGAGTCATTTATGAGAAGTTTAGGTCCGTCAATATATCCTTCAATTTTTTTTAATCTTTAAAACGGACTCTTTTCATAATAGTTATTTTAAAACGAACCTTTCATATTATATTTTATCGCGAAAATGAACCTTTACAAAACTTTTCTTTTAAAACCAAAGCCAATGATGCCTTTAACAATTTTAAAACAAAAACCCAATGAAAGCAATTTTTTGTGTTATTTTAATCACAAAAAATGGACCTTATACATAGAATTATGAATAGATTCACAAAAATAGACCTTTCACAAAATAGTTTGAATTGTTCGCCGGTTTGTGAGATTTTTCACATAAACAAGACCCTATTTTCCAAAATTCACAAAATTAGGAATGTTTTTTAACAATTTAAACAATGGACACTTCCCAAAATACCTAATACAGTATATTCCTGATATCTCGAAGATTTTTTTATGTCAAAAAATATTTTCCCCCTTGGCATTATATATTTACCTAATAGTAATTTCAATTCCTATGGCAAAGAGTTTCTTCTCAAAACCTTGTTATGTCGAATTTTTTTCGAAGTAGAAAATGAATTTTTTCGGAAAAATCACAATTTAAGTTTATTTTAAACTAATTCTTTCCAACTTAATGCATAATTATTTTTGTCATACTTTTAAAAATAAAATTATCGTTGTTGTATTTAGACCTTATAATAAACTATCATTACATACATAATTATTAGTAGTTATTCTTACGTTTCATGACTAATGTTTAGAGTAATATATCAGAATATATTTTTTCACTTTTTTGAACATATTTAGTTCCGAACTTTTTATTTCGAAAACTCGCTATCTCGAAATTTTTTTAAGATATCTATCGTATACTGTATACAAACATAATTGCTATGGAATGACTTTTAAATGTATGTCTAAAATATATTTTCAATAATAAAAGAAATGTCTCCGTTATCAAAACTTATTATAAATAATTTATTTTCATTACAAAAAATAGTAGTCATGAAATTTAGAAAACAAACATTGATGGAAACGAATCAATGAATTAACAAATGTACATTACTGTAAGTAGATGTTACTTCGGAATATGTACATTAGTGTAAGTAGATGTTACTTCGGAATATGTACATTACTGTAAGTGGATGTTACTTCGGAATATGTACATTACTGTAAGTGGATGTTACTTCGGAATGTGTACATTATTGTAAGTAGATGTTACTTCGGAATATGTACATTACTTTGGAATATATATTCATTACTGTAAGTAGATGTTACTTCGGAATGTGTACATTATTGTAAGTAGATGTTACTTCGGAATGTGTACATTAATGTAAGTAGATGTTACTTCGGAATATATGGGTAATTTGAAAAATATTTTCAAGCGTTAATCAGTTTTAGACATCAATAAACACACCATGTAGCTTAGTCAAAGAAGTAGATAATGTTGTTTATTCAAAGAGGAATTCATTAAATTTCCTCCAAACATATTCAGCGGACAAAATTCGAAATTTTTAACTAATTTTTATTTATCCGTGTATCATGTGCTGAAACATTATATTAATGCATTGAAACTGTAAAAATAGATTTAAGTTGTAGCAATGAAAACAAACTCATTTAATAAAAACTAGGTTTATGAAAGTGCATAAATTAATTACAAGTTATAATTTTTATTTATTTTGTGTGCTCCATTGTATTTGCAAATACTGAACTTAGGTAACAGATGATGCACTAAATATTAATATTTGTGTAATTTAAAGCTAATATCGCAACGTATTTTTCAAAAACTGTGAAAAGTATATAAATATTTTTTTTAATTTAAGCTGCACAATAAGAAATTAAAGTATCGGTCACGCTGTGGTCTATTCTATTCTATAAATCTGATGAAAAATTCCAAGCACAGTGCGAAAAAATAATGATCCAGAAAAAATCTTACAACTCAGAATAACTTTTAATCTAATCAGATCTTCACGTTCTAGGACTCAATCTTAATGGTTCAAGGAGTGACCTCAAGTATGCTAATTAATTAGTGTGGACGATATTTTAAGTTACGAAATCAGACACGAAAACGTACTCTTTCTGAATACGCATAACTTTTTTTCAACAGATTTGGATATCTACCACCAAAATATAAGGGATGGACGAAATCTGGGAAATGTGGTCACCATAGTTTTTGTGTCTGCCTTAGTAACTTAAAATATCGTTTGCATATATATAAAGTGTCGTTTGCGTATATATAAACTAAAATTAATTTTTGCTTTTTTTTTGAATTTCTGAATTTTTTTACTTATGGAAACAATATTTTTAAAACAGCGGTCGGAACTCAGAAAAAGTAGTCTAAAATTAATACTTCAAATAAATTTTCTAAATTTGTATCAATGTATAGGTTTTTTGAAGTTACTGATTAGGAATGTAATATTATAAATTCAATATTCAAATAAGCAGTGTTTAAGTGCCAAAAATTGAATATGTCTAATTAATCCTAAATATTGCTTCAAAAAATTTATATTCTACTGTTATTCAGTATATATAAGGTTATCACATAACTACTACACATATATTAACTGAACTTTATTATGATATTAGTGATGGTAACAATAAATAAATAAAATCTGCATGGCAAGTTTTAAAGAAAATCATTATTAAATTATCACATTTATTGTCACATTTTATAATATTCTTACATTATTTAACACAAAAGAAATACAAAATCTATATCATATATTCTAATAATTCTAATCATTTTCTACTACTAAGAAATTATGTGATTAAGCTTATTTTTAACTTTTATTAGTGATAATCACTTGAACAAATCTTCAATGTTGTGCAATCTTGAAATTTTTTTTTACGCGATTTCAAATTGAAATCAATCTTCAAATGAAAAAAAAACATTAAATAAGGGCGTATCTATCTCATGGAGAATTACTCGAATAATAACTAAATATACTTCATAATTACAAAAAACAGCACACATAGCATTGTAACTGATTGTCACTATTGACCTACATTTAACTGATATCATTACTTCAAACTGTTATTATTTTTAAGACCTTTGTTTCAAAAGTGTTGTCTTAAATATTTATTGTGCTAAAAATTCCGAAATTGTAAGAAAAAGTAGAAATTGATTATATTTAGTTAACATATTTTTATTTTCAATAAAAATAAAAAAAATTATGTCTACTTTATTAATTGTAACATAAAAATTAGAAAAAAAATTGCTAAACATACTTTTTTTCACATTTTCATAGTTAAAATCAATGGGGGCAGATACAGGCACCTTTTTTTCCCCTAGTTCTGGTTTATCATTCTTTAGTTTCTTTAAAATCAACAAAGGGAGGGGGGAAGAACCAAGGGGAATTTTTTTTCATAAATCACAATGAAGTTGTATTATTATATGAAATATTCATATTTGCATGAGGCTTTAAACTAGTGTAGTATACTAATTATTTACAGGATCAACGTAGAAAAATAAATTTTAAACTTCGAAACACATGAAAAATCAACAACAATAATGAAACTATAATTATTTCTGAAATAACACTTAATGGAATTGTATAATAAAGAGTGACATTCCAGATGCGGAAAATTTCTAACCATTTAATATGGATAATACAATAATAATTAGAATATTGTGTAAATGGATTATTTTACATTATTCTTTATACTTTCGTTGACTAGAAAACATTAACGATTAGTACTTTTGAACCACTTAATTTTTTGACTTTTAGCCAGCCTTTTCAGAGTTCCGACAACTGTGCTCAGGGATCTAAAGAAAATTTCCTTCCCCTTCAGATCACTGTCTAAATAGTGGAAGTGGCCTCTCGAATGAGTGTTGCTGCCTTCTATCCGGGGAGTTATGGGCTAAGTCGTACTTTAACTCTAGCTGTGCTCTTTTGTCAAGCAAAGGCGCGCTTTCCTGATTTAATTCGCTAAGGCCAATGGCTGGCAAGCTTGGCTTTTTCAAGTGTTATTAGAAACAATAACGTAAGTTAATGGTTTTTGAATTATCACAACTTCTGCTATAACTGAGATAGAAACAAAATTAAAGTTATTTTTGGAGAGATAAAAATAGATTCTTTCATTTTTACCTAAAAATAGGAGCTTTGATGATGTACTCAAAGTAGGTTCCTAAAAGGTACCTTAAACAATTGTTAACAACAGAGAATAGCTCAGAAATATATATTTTTAGAAGGAAAAAAACTTACCATTCCTTTACATAGGCTCACTTTTACAGTTGATAAAGTTTCTCCTAATATTCGACCTTTATAGTAACATCTTGATTTCATAAGAGTCCTAGGTTCCAACCTTGTAAGGTTGGATTTCAAGAGACGATGAAGTTGATGGTATGGCAGAAGCTCAATAATCCAGGTGTGATTTAAACCCTGTAGCTTGTATCGTGTTTTACTATGCCAAATAGCTTGCCCTTTCCGCCGAAATTGCAAGTAGTGCGGATATAAATGACCTTGAATGTCTATTCGATGCAATGATACTGTGCTTGAATGGTTTTCTTGAATTCCTAAATAAAAAATGAACATTTTTTTTACTAAACTAAAAGAAAAAAGTAATTGTAAATATACACTGAGAATAAATTTCCCTGGGTATAATTTGATTTTAATTTTTTTTTTCCTTCTGACATCAACTTTTATTCAAATGATTCATTGTTTAGACTCGTACAGGAATTAAAATCTTTCAATAGGTTATAATAATTTTCATTCAGTTTGAAAAATATTCCCAAAACTGAAATAAAAAAAACTTAATATTTAAACTATTTCTTAACTTTAAATTTTAAACGTTTTTTTTTTTTTTTTTTTTTTTTTTTTTTTTACAAAATAGTACAGAGCTCAAAAGAAAAGTGTTCACCTAGAAAAACTATCAATCTAATGAACAGATTTTCATGTACTAAAACTAACTTTAATGGTACGAGAGTATGATCTCAAATATGCAAATTAATTAGTGCAGAAAATAATTTAAGTTACGAAATCAAACATAAGAATCATACTTTCTCTGAATAAACATACCTTTTATTTCGACAGTTTTTAATTTTTTATATGAGGTAGCCGCAGTCTGAAAAATAAGGTCCTAATAGTTTGGTCATAAAAATTTAGAACCCTAAATACATTAATTTTAATTTTTGCTTATTTTGCCTTATCTCGAGAACTCTTTAAGCGAATCAAGAACTTTTTGCACAAAATAATAAAATTCGCTTATACTGAGATAATTACATGCAAAAAATAATTTTCAAGGTATATTATTTTTTATTTATTTATTTTACAATAATAAATTTAATTTTGAATCTTATGATATACAAATTTTTAATATTCGTAAATTTAAATGATGAAATCAAAAATTTCAAAGGAACTGGCAGAAAAATTCATGAAAAATTTAATTTTTAATGTACGAACTTAATGATTATTCAACCAATTTCAATCAAATTTCGTATTTTACCAATTAAAATTATATACTTAAAAATTATTTCAAAAATTTGTGTACCTTTCAGTTCAAAAATTTTTTCAACCATTATTTAGTTAAATGAAAAAATATTAGATAACTATAAAAAGTAATTTTCTACTTAGGGCTCTTTTTTATAGTTTTGATAAAAAAAAAAATTGTAGACTGATTAACTTTATTAGTACCGGAGATATGGCGAATGATAAGCAGAAAAAAAAATTAACACTGAGGGAAACAAACATTCAACCCTTTTCCTTCCTAAACTATTGGGTCTCCATTTTGTAGATTGTGGGTACCCCTAATAATTCGAACTCACCGAAAATGAAGGCATGTTTATTAAAAGTTCGTTTTTGTGTCAGAAATTTCATAACTTAAACTATCGTCTACAGTAAGTAATTAGAATATTTAAAATTAGGTTCCCAGACCATTAAAATTTAGTTCCAGTATGTGGAAAATGCAATTTATTATGATTATTTAGGGTGTTAATTTTTTTTCTTGCAAGCTGCATAAATTAAGTTTAGGGCCGGGATAACCTGGTTAGTAAGACGTTAGTCTCGAGTTCTTGAGAACGGGAGTTCGAATCCTACCAGCCGATGCATTCCCGCATATCGAATGGTGACTGGTGCGCGTTAAGTCTGTCGGGGTCACAAAGTCCTCCAAGTTCGCATAACAAATCAATATCTCCGGAGGTACTGAATTGGAGATTGATCGTTCGCAGGTTCAGGTCAAAATTACGATCTGCGGATGAATGGAGTATGATTGGGTTCTCCTTGTAAAACGGACTGTGATGTGAGTGTGTGGCCGAAGTTGTTATCCTTAGCCGTAGATGGCACTCCTTTAAAAAAAAAGTATTCTTTGACTTAAAAGTTCAAGTAGGCTTGCTGACTGGCAAGTGGCATAAGTAACAACAACATAGTTTAAATTTTAAATTTGTTTGGAGTTTAAAGTACTCAAACTGATGCTTTTTTTTACTTCCCTTGGCACAAAACCTACAAAGAAAACCTATAACAATGATGCCACCTTGCTCCGATTTTGAAATTTTTAGTGGTAACGAAATTTTAGCTATTTTTCGTTTAGTATTTTTTATTTTTAGTAATTTTTCCACCACTGCATATCAAGAATTCAAAGCATCATATGAAATGCAACTTTATTACAGTTATCTCATGGCGACTCTTTCAAAGAGTGGGTATAATTATACTTAGTCAACTAGTTTTATTATTTAATCCCTACCAATCGATTAAAACTTTTGCAGAAAGCCGAGCAGTTGGCATCCACCATAATTTATAATATTATCTACATGGATGCCGATATAATTTGGATAGCTGATGAAATGGAGCACCACACGTTTAAAAATTAATGAATTCTCAAATTAAATAAATAAACAATTATCTTAAAGTATTTTCGAAACTTTTCATTAAAACTTTTAGATGCTTGTGCCTAGCAAACAAAATTATAACAGATATTTCAAAGCTCTCGAAATGGTAACAGCCTTAGTAATTCTGAATGTGCTCACATTGCAGTAAATAAAATCTAACAATAAAATACTATGTTCAAAGTCATAACTAACTTTGTCACAAAAAGTGTTATGATTTTTGATAACAGTAAAAAAAAAAATTCAAAGCATGAAAGTTTCTTATATTTACATATTCTATTTTTTTCAAGCTCATTTACATTGAGTAAGTGTTGATTTTCATGTAGCAGTCTGGTAATAAACCTATTTTCTTCAAATCTAAATATTTTACGTAACCCAACGAACTACATATCTTACGGCTTACTTGGTTAAAAGCCAACTCAAATATATCCAAAATGATTATCAATTTAGGGCGACATAAACCTCATTTACACACCATAACTCAGACATAGGCGGTTTTAAAACTCTGTTCTAAGAAAAAAGATTATGATAATCAAACTCAGACATTATTTAGCAAAACTTAAATAGCTTTTTTCTCTTTACCGTAAAAAATTTTACGATTTTCAAGTTTTAAGAATCAAATTTTTAGAATTACAGTTGTGTCTGCATTAAACTTAAATACTTTCTTTAAAGTTAGTTTTATATGAAATATTTTCTTCTTTTAAATATTTAATAGATAAAAAAATAAATGAACAAAATAATTTTAGATGCGGAAACTAAATTTCAAATTTATAAATATGCTATCTTCTGAGTTAGTCAAAAAAAAAACTACTTAATTGGCATTTTAAATTTGAATTTTTTTTAAATTTAAGTTTTTAAAAATTTCGAACTTGAAAGTTTTTTTTAACAATTAGATATTTTAATTCCTTAATAATTACTAATTATTCATTGATAATTTTTAAAAGACAGAAATTTAAAAAATACAGCTCAAATAACCAATTTGGTTTAAATCTTATATTTCATCACTTAAAATTGCAGTGTTTAAAAAGATTCTTATAATTTAAAATTTAAATTTCGCTCTGTATTGAATAAAATAAATAAATAATTGATAATTAAGTTTTTTTTCAAAAAATAATTTTTCTGTAAGCAAATTTTAAAAACGGGTGCAAATATTTATCGGTTTTTTCTTCTTGCGTTCTAGAAACAAAAAAATTTAAAATAACAAAAAGCAAAATGAGCTTTCGACCACTCTATTTACTAATTACATGCGTTACACTAAATATAATTTAAAAATTTATAAATTGCTTCACAAAACTTATTCTTACTGGTGGCATTGAAAATTTCTTTGTAAGGCTTTAACTATCTCAATGGTTACAATTATTACTAAAGCTCTCATACTCTGAAATAAATGTTTTCCTCCATAACGTAGAACTCTTAATTTGTTTCTCAAAATAACTGTTTTAGTTAAATTCACATAACGCTCTTCATGATGGAAAAACGCAATAAAAAATTTGCATGCAAATTAAATGGAATTGAAAAATTTTAAAAGATTCATTTTTATATAAATTGTCGAAACAGATCCAGCTAAAAAATTTTTTTTTCATGAAACCAATTTCAACATAACGTTTAGGTAAAACCTTTTATAAATATTGATTAATTATGTATCAATTATGCTATCCATTTTTGAAACAATGAGTTTTTAATTAAACCAAAATTGCATTTAAGTTGAAATAGCGCTTTTAACACATCGCTTAACCTGCTTAACACGTTCACGCCGGTGTGACCCACCCGTGGCTTGTCTCATCTTGGCAGCGCACCGGAGTAAAAACTGGTAACAATAAATTTCATTTTTTAGTTTTTTTCCGGGAATAGTAAAAATCCATAACTACCAATTGTTTTTAACGGATGCAATTTTTATATTGAATTGCTTCTTCGCCGTGATAAATTTCCTTACAGTGAATTGTTTTTGTTGAGAATAGATTAACGCCTCCCGAATATTATCTAATATTGAAATAGTTCTTCTACCAGTATTTTCTCTTTTCCCGTACCAGTATTTTCACTTTTCTCGGCGTGAACGTGTTAAAATGACAAAGGGTACACAATTTTCACATTGTGAGGCTAAAATTGACTTAATTATTTCAGAAATCTTTTAATTGCTGAATAATTATTAAAATATTGCAATATTAATGTATCCAAATATATTAATTGATTGAACGAAATTTTTAGAGAACAAAACCAACTCATATCAATAATATAGGAAAAGTACACTAAATATATCAGGCGAGAAATCCTTAAGTTTATATTGAATTATTCAAATAAAGTAAAAACAAGATATTGTTTATTAACATTTTATCTATATAATACAGATATTACTGTAGTACAGTAATATCTTTATCTATCAGTGGAACAACTCCTGAGAAATCATATTTTAAAAATAGGTCATCTTTAACATCCGATTCCTCAGGAACTATTGATTCGATCTTGCTCAAATTTTGTATTTTGCCATTTCTAATTGAATTCTTTCAAATGATGTAGAAAATTGTATACCTTGCAACTCAGAATTTTTTCAACTGTTGTTAAATAAAATTTAAAAAAATAATAAATATCTTCTATAAAAGTTATATTTTGCATGGAATTTTCTTTAGATAAACGAATTTTATAATTGTGTGCAAAAATTTTCAATTTACTTAAAAAGTTCTCGAGATATGGGGAAATAC